CGGTATATTAAATCAATTTCTTTAAACTCTGCACATTTTTTGTAAACATACAATAACCAATTTAAAATATTGTGCACATAAGAGGGAAACAATCTTTAAGTCCAACATACAACCACTTACATGTACATTTAAACTATATTCGATGTTATATAGCATTATCACATTTTGGGCGCCCATTGTATTAACATTTACTATGTCACTGTCATGCGAAAAAGACAGGTAATATATTAAAGTGGTTTGGCACCAGAAAGTTAGTAGTCTACTTTCAGCAAAGTACCTAATAACTAGGCATAAGTAACTTATCACACAAATACAGATGGAAACTTAAATCTTTTAAATGCTACTTGCAATTCCAGAACACTGCTTCTTTAAAATAAAAGCTTGACTCCACAACAAATATTCTTGAGTACCACATACATGCTGTTAGCAGTAACTTGTTGCTTTAGTTGCAATACATTCTGCTGCTATATCCTGCCTTTTACTAGGAAAAGTTCTCTGCATGTGTGCCTATGTGTGTGTATGTATTATGTATGTGTATATATATAAAGTATAAAAATATAATTAAAATACATCACCTTATTTTCAAGGAATTATACAGACTCAAGTATCCAAATGGGAGAATTAGGCTGGCAGCTACAAATTCTGTGTGTATTTCCTCATAAAGCTTTTTTTATCCTGGTATATTATTTGCAATGTCAAACTGTGCAACCTTAAATCAGAGCTCAAAGACAAAGAACAAACTGGCTAGTGACGCAAGGCTAAGAGTGCTTTTAATTGCCAGCATTTTCAGTTTGCAGTCGCTCAATCAGTTTTTCAGCCTATGAAAGAGAGAAAGCAGTGCATTAACTACACCGTGGACCTCAGTTTATTGAGAATTCCATTTTAAAGATAGTGACACTGACAGAGCATTTACTTTTCATTTTTACAGGCAAAGCATACAACAGAAGCAGAATACGATGATTGCTTTGAACAGCAGATTCTTTTTCTCACTTTCCATCAAGCTCCCATTAGGTAATCAGAAGAGGAAACAGAACCCATAGAAGTCAGAGGATGTTTAGGCAAATAAATAGCAGATAGAGCAGTGTGGTTCTAAAGACCTCAGAAGACAGCAATTCTAGAAGAACCAAGCTGTGAGACCTCAAATTCTTTGGGAGATACTCGAGAAAGGCATGTCATGGCCCCTCATGACCCAACAAGCCATGTAGGTTGCTGAGGGATGGAGTGCATTCATATATGTGGTTCATATCACGAGATATGACATCCATTCTTTGGTTATGTCACTATGCTCGCACATACTTTTTCATCATATGGCTATTTATGCATCTACCACGTAACTGGGACAGCTGTATTTTCTGTGTGTAACAGCACCAGCCCACAGAGCCCTCAGAAAGGCTCAGGGCAGAAGCAAGCCTGCCAGCGTGGTTCTAGCAGGCCAAATTGGGCACATGGACATAAATAATACAAACAATGTTTCTGTAAATCAGACACTTGTTTTAGTCTAAAGATGGTAAGATGAGAAAAAACATGTGAACTATAAAAGCAATCATTAGGTGGACGTGTTTTTCACCTAAATTGGATGAACTAGGTTATGTACAATACAGTCCATCACATTTGAATGTATCCTTTTAAATTGAAGAACAAATACTTTTAATATTAAGAGTCCTCAGAAGCACATCACATTAACCTAAGCTACACATTAGATCCAGAACTACCGTATTATTTGCTGTTAATGTTATTGACACTCCATTCCCCTTATTAAAGTATAAGCATTAAGGTTTTTACAATTATTCTCAAATAGTTAATGCAAAATATACATAATCAATAATTGCAATAACAATTGTACAAAAATAATTGCTCAAAGAATTTTTGGACATAGTTAAAATGTTAGAAAGACATCACATTTTCAGCTTGCAACTGAAAACCTACCAAAAAGCTCATCTGTGTTACACTTACCGTGATAAACCAGTAGGAATTGATTCTGTAAAAGAGTCTGGATAAGAATCCTAGCTGACTGGCTGGGGCCAGGACGTGAAGATGCAAGTGGGGTATTGAGCAGAATGGAGGCCAGTGAAAACCCATTCTTCAGAAAAGGAAAACAAGTGAAAAACACTGGTCATGTTAATTCAGGAAGAAGTGGAACATTGCAAGTTATTTAACATGATCAACTAAATTAACAACTCAACTCATTACATTTTCCTTGTATATGAAGGCAGGAAGGAAAATAAGGCCTTTCCTTTCATTATGCTCTCAGGGAACCTTTTCAAAAGTCCATTAATCTCCTCCTTCATGTCTCTGTATTTAGGATACATTTTGTTAAAAAGGAGGTTTTAAAAAATAAAATGTGTCTTAAATGTATCATATGTAGTTTTCAGCCGGAAAGCCAACTGTTGCTAGATGAATGTAGTTTCCACCTATTTTCATCACGAAGGCCCACCTCCCTACACTCTGCACTATTTAAATTATGTTACAATTTACTTCGGCTATCAAATGCACTGGCTTAAACTAAAGCGTGCAGCACTGAAATCAAATGAATGCAGGTATGACTGAAACACAATGCAGTGCCCTGCTTGAATAGGACAAAGTTTACCTCTCTTCTGGAATCCAGGATTTAGATAATATTTTCAGCATGTAATTAAAGAGCAGCCTTTTAGATAAGTTGTTTGAAATGCCATCCCTATCCCAAGATGTGGTCAAGAAGGAATCTCAAGAGTTGGAACGCAATCTGTGCTGGAAATTCGTCAGAAAAAAGGAGTTTCTATTCAATACCAGCACATTCTACCTGAGAACTCATGCGCTAAGTGAATGCAGACCTGGTATCTTCAATGAATCATACTGCAGTCATTGCCACCATCTCTAAAATAGCATTCTGAAAAGTAAAAACCGTACTCGATAAACACAGAAGGTTTCCATTACATACCTTATATCATTCAAGTCACTAAAATTACTTCTCTGGAGGACAGCTTTTCCAACTTCCATCATTCTCTTCACTATTAAGCACAAATAAATTTCAGTTAATGTTTCAAGTAGTATTTTATACATTGTATGTCATCAAATAATTTTTAAAAGGTATTCTTCAGAATATTAACTTTAACAAACTGGTTACGCTGAAGTCAAACATGGGTTTTTCAAAATATAAATACGGTAACTATTCATAATCAAATATTGTCAAGACAGTGCCATGGGATGATTGACATGAAAATTGCCACTGTTATCAATTTCCACACTAATGCTGCTTTTAAGTGTGGTATGATTCTAAGAAATTTGGCCAAAGCCATGCTATCACCACACCCTTGTAAAAAAACCCAACAAGTACTGACTGGTCAGAATGATGACGCTTACGCTAATGCCAGTGTTACATCTCTACACAGCTACAGGATTTTGATCTCTAGGTCCTGTGCGGCCTAACATAAGCTAGGAAGTTTCAGAAATGGTACACAAATTTAAATTAAAATAAAACAAAACTGTCAGTTCCAACTTACTACTAGGACAAAGTTTCATTATTGTTTCACTGAGAAAAGAAGCAATGCTAATACAAAAACTCAAGGCAAAAGTCTAAGGAATTGTCTCGAAGCCAAACACAATGTAGAAGCTGCTTCTGGAGGAAACTATCCTACGTTGAGAAGAGAAATCCAGTGATGCAATATTTGCAACATGCAACTATAAGTCTTTTCTTGCATCACCTGTAAATTTCCCTAATGTGGAATCACTTCATGCATGTAGGGCTGTAGTTTCTTCTGTTACTCAACACACTTAGCTAAGCATGTCTTGTGAAACAAATTCCAGGACAATGTTTCCTTAAGGGGGGAAAAAAAAAGAAGCCTATCAACATTAAATCATAACTTCAATATTTTTTGATTTTATCTTTTCAAAAATTATTGAACTTTATTGGAACACCATTTCCCTCTTTGTTCTCTTACTCCCTTTTTTCCTCAAAAATAATGTAGCACATGTTAAAATACATGCTTTAGAAAATTATTCTATAATTGTTCATATAATTTAAAATTGCATATATATAGAATCATAGAATCATTTAGGTTGGAAAAGACCTTTAAGATCATCAAGTCACACCATTAACCTAGCACTGCCAAGTCCACCACTAAACCCTAGGTGCCGCATCTACGCATCTTTTAAATACCTCCAGGGATGGTGACTCCACCACTTCCCTGGGCAGCCTGTTCCAATGCTTGACAACCTTTTTGGTGAAGAAATTTTTCATAATTTCCAATCTAAACCTCCCCTGGTGCAACTTGAGGCCATTTCCTCTTGTCATATCTAAAACAACTGAATGAAGCAGCATATAAGCGCTTTAAAAATAAAGTTGCAGTTCCAACAAAGTGCAGAGGCATTTACACTCCATATAAACAACAGAGAATTAGTGCATTAGTGCAATGTTTTTCTAGGATCACACAAAAATGTGCACTATTCTAGAATAGCACATGAAGTTCCCAGGAAGGGCGAATCCCTACCTACATGCACTCACACCATCTTTTCCACGTTTACATCCTAAACCAAATGGTGTTCAATTTACTTGAAACACACCATATAAGGCTATGCAAAAGTATTTTTCCTTTAGGTTAAACACACACTTAGAGCCTTACCTACAGGTATGTGTTCTGCCTTCAGTGTTTTGCAGTTTCCCATGTGCTCCACCGGCACCACCAGATAGTGGTGGGGGGCACTAGGTCTGATATCTCTGAAGCAAACAAGGTCGTCATACTAAAAAAGGATGCAAACATATTAAATTGATTAGGACGAGGATATCGGCAAAGAGCAGGTAACAAAGTTCATCTTCCCCATATCACTGTGATGCTTAACGTTATACTTGAAGTAACTAGCAAAAATCTTAAGGCTTTTGGGAACAGCCTACAGGAAGACTTACAAGCACGATTTGTGGCCTCCGTTGGCCTTCTGCAGCCAGGATTCCTCAGTACCAGCTTTACGGTGTCCCGCTGCTGTGCCAACCGTCCCGGAAGGCAAGGGGCGTCCCCTCCGACCAGGACTTCACGCCTACCTCCCTGAAAGCGTCGAGAACGGGCAGCCCAGGCACCCCTTACCGCCGGGGAGGGCTGCGCCGGGCGACCGACCTGCGGGCTGGCGTCAGGGCGTGATCGTCCGTTCTCAAACGACGCCCCCTCGGCCCTCCCCGCCTCCCCCG